TTTAGGATAGTTAAATCTGTCTGATAGAAGGCATCTTTTAAACCCAGAGCCACAGCCTAGCGCTGTTTAGAATAATGTATGCTCTTAATTTGGTTTGCCAGATAGCTACTGATGTTAATGAGTTACCACTGAGTAGTCTATATGAGTGAATCTAAAGAAGCAATAAACTCAATGTTAGCCTTAGTAAGAAAGGATTATATGATTTCTGTCCAGTGAGGCTTCACCATTGCATTTGCTGAAACCCCAATCCATGACATGCTGTCAAATTCTCCTGGCTATACTTAATTTTGTTCAGGTGCTCCTCTTGAGCAACCAGCCTACAGAGAAACTGCCCATGCGCATCTGAGCTAAACCTTTCAACAACTATCTCATCCATATTACGTAAAGAAAGCAGTTACAATTCAATTGAATGGTTTTTAGCCCTGTAGGTAAAATGTTTGCATTTTGAAATGCCCATCTTTTTTAACATTCTTGACACCATGAAACAACAGCAAAACTGAAGAGACTTCCCTTGTACTGCCAAGTGAAAATTACATTTACAGTTTTTGAACATACAGTGGTTCTCAAAGGTCTAAAACCTCTGTTTAAAATATCAGGTTTTGTCATGAGACCATAAGAAATCATTTTAATGCATTTTTTCCTGTAATGTGACATTTATTCTGCACAGTTCACCTTTTAAAAAAAAAAAAAAAAAAAGAAAGAAAAAGAAAGCTTTATGGGGTTGTAAAAAAATAACTTGACGGTACAAGTGTGAACCCTCTTAACTAATAATTAGCTAGAACTCCTTCTGACTAATTTTTAGCATTCAGTCTTCGAGTTTACACCTACAATGAATTATATTAAATATGAGCAAATGTTTAAATGTCCTTGTCGGGTTTCCCACATTTTCTACATTTTATTTCTTCAGGTAAAGCAACTGTGTGCAGAGAGGCGACAGAGGATCAAATGGATCTTATTGTACAAAAGTATCAGTCAGGAGAAGGATCTAAAAATGCTATTTCATTATTTATACACTGTGGCACAGTGAAGAAGGTCATTAATATTGGTAGAAAATGTGGTACAACCACCAAAATAGAAACTGGTTAGGGAAGCTGGTAAGAGGCTGAAAGTAACACAGAAAGGGGCGAAAGAGTTTCCTACAAGGACTGGTTGTGTTCTACATGTGATAACAAGCTCCACTATGTTTCATATGTCTGAACTCGGAGGTAAGGCTGCAACACTGAAGCCTTTTGCTCCAAGGAAAACATCCGAGCCTGATTTAAATCTTTCAAATCCTTGTGAGGGAATGGCTTAACTTTGTTATTGGTCAGTGATTTCAGGGCACTTCCACGAAGTATTACTTTAAAGGTGGACACACTGTCGCACCTTTTTTTTTTATATCTTTTTTTTTGCCTTAACAGATTTGTTGTTCAGTTGAATTGTGCGGAATAAATGTCACGTGGGAAAAGTTTTAAAAGATTTATTATGATCTAATTATTTAACCTCACAAACATGGCTTTTTAACAGGTCTCTGACTTTTAGGGGCCACTTCACTTTGTACACTTACTGGTTGTACTTTCTACCACAGAAGTTAGTCCTATATTTCAGCATTGGGGGGGTGGGGGATTTATATCCCAGGGGGACATGTAGCATGATTTCAGTTACTTGCACTAGGTAGTGATTTAATCCAGTCTGGAGACTATATGTCTATGATATTTCTGTTCTGTCCCCACCCGAGAAACTGCTATTATAGAACAAGTTATTCTCTCATTATTTAGGTCTGTCCAGAGAAACAATTTGAACATGTCATATCGTTTCAGTGCATAGCGCTGCCTTTGCTGTTAATGGCTTTCATCAGCCTAGTTCACATTAGGTTTGCTGAAGTTTCAGAATAACTCTGCTGACCTTTTCACTCTTGGTGTAAAAAGCCTGGCACAAGATCTTGTGATATTAAAATGTGATGAGCTATATCATGTTTTTTTCTTTAGCAATCTGGACTGTATTTTATCATCTCTAGTTTAAAGTCTAAAATTCTTAGGCTGGTCAGACTGGAGCTGGGTAACCATAACATTATGACCACTGACATGTTTGTTAAATACTATTAAACCATGCTTATCTTATCTTTCTACAGTCTAGCTGACTGATGAGAAAACTTTGCTTTTTGACACAAACTCCCCGCAAGGAATACAGCGATGCCGAGGTGTTCTCAATTTTTCATGTATGTCTATATTCCAATGAGATAGAATTTGATGCCACTTCTGTAATGTTGTCCTGCTCCATGAAGACTTGTAGCCCAGAATCCACCAAACACATGGTTACTTCAGCTGACTGCTCTGCACCAGGCACTCCAGAATAGGCTTGGGTTTGTATAAGGCTGGTATGATAACCTGGAGTGAAAATACAATGATGTCACAGTACCATGGTACGCAAAGATTTCAAACAAAGATGGATACCATAACCTAATTCAGGGCTGTGCAATACATTGCAAATGTACCATCATAGTAATATCATTGTGCACAATATTATCGGATGCCAATTTAATGTGGAGTCTGTTGCGTAGAGCCTTTCTGCAATAGACACCCACACCTGACGCAGATGGTAGTGGCCACACGAGACGAATAGGAGTTGGGAAAATGTGGAGCTATTGCAACAGATATCATCATCGTTATGTTTACAAATAACATCACCATTGCATATTTTAATACTGTACAGCCCTTATCGAATTAGTCTTTCTTGTGAGCGAGGGAAAAGTGACATAGCCTTTGTTCAGTCAGCTGACCAGCAGTGCACTGCAGCAGGTTGGGAAGAAGGACCGCTTCTCTCCTCTCAAACAAAATAGAAAAACTCCGGTCACTTCAACAATTTCTCTGGCATCCAATTAAAAGGCCCTTACATCTATGAACAAGATGTGATGGAAACTGAAACTTTAAAAACCTTGTTACACCTTGATGCTCTAATCAGCTCATGCTTACTCCACAACAGGGGGTGGGAGGAAGAGGGGTGGAGTCGTTTGTCTTATTTCAAAGTTTTACTATGGGAAATATAATTAAAATATTTAATGACTCAACTGAAACCAATGCTTTTGGTAACATTAGTTCCTGCAGGTTGTCATTACCTACCCTCATTAATTTACCATTTGCTTAAATACTGTCTGGAACTGTGGCTCTTAGTTAAGGAGAGCGGGGGACTTTTTATCACCTGCGGTTCTCTTTAACTGTCCTCACCAAACGGACCTCATGGCAGCTTTCAAAACCACAATTAATTTGAAGTGAATAGTTAATTTTCCCTTTAGGGATGTGTAAATTATGTCTAGTCAGTTTTAACCTGGAGTCGACAGTGTTTGTACACTCAGTTTGGAGGAGCTTGGAGTGTGTTTTTTTTTTCAGACAGGAAAACTAATTTACTGGATGTGTACAACATATGAAACAACTCTGGCCTTAAAAAACAATTTAAACTACAAAATACTCAGCGTGGTTTGAGCAAAGCCGTACTGTGTGATTTTTCCACTGTGCCAGTTTCGCGTCATGCAGTTACATGGGTCACGTCTACAAAACATGGTTCATGATTTTTCACACCGATTGTATTGCAACACATACATTTTGTTTCTGCATAATTAACTTTCTGATGCCAAAGTAATGGGGTGGAAAAATCCCGGCAGTTTTGTTCACTCAAACTGTTCTGAAATCTGTGAAGGATGGAGTTGTTTTGGATTGCAGCAATTTGCTCCTCAGGTTCTTCTGTATGACCATCATCTAGCATGACTCGGATCACAAATCTTCAATCTCTCTTAACACTTCCATAAGAATGCTGTGTATCTATAAATACATAAATCTATGTAGAAGATAAAAAGGTGCATTTTATGATATATGAAACTTCTTTTAATTTTCTTGACATGGCAGCGAGTTCTCCACGCTCACAGGCTCTATACCCTCCACCCTTGCTCCAGCCTTGCATCCAGACAGCATCGATCCAGCATCTTATCTTCACTCTGATCCCTATGTTATTTCAGGAGCATAGGGAAAGCTTAATGATCTATTGACCTGATCTATCGATCTGTACAGTCAACCACAATGGACCATCAACTAAAGAGGTGCTTGTAGGGCACGAACTCCTCTCTGGCCTGAATCCATTCAACTCACACCCTCCCACATCCTCTGCTAGCAATCTACACCCTCCTGTGTACCCTCTTTACTTCCACAGAAATTAGGTCTTAAGTTGCTTTTAGCCAGTGGCTGTAAAGTGGTTTACATATTTCAGCTCTGCAACTAGTAGTGTTTGTCATGTGATTGTAGATCTGTTGGCTCAAATAACCAAAAGCACAGGGTTAGCAGCTAACTTTAGGCCTATATGTATATAAAAATATAGTTTTAGCACAATCTTCATGCATTTCGAAGGGATTTTGTGCAATAGACTAACACAAAGTGGACGTAAAAGGATACATGAGTGTTTATAATTTTATTTACAGAGAAAAATCTGGAAAATGTGGTGTGCACTAGTTCCTTTATGGATTAGTCAAATCTAAGAAGTCTATCTGGTTCCAAATTAAACTGTCAATATACAGCTGTTCTGCAAAGGCCTCAGATGTTTGTTAGAGAACATTAGTGGAAAAAAAAGCATAATGAAGACCAAGGAATCTAGGTCCAGGAACAGAAATTGTTCATTTGTGTACATATGGAAGAAGGGGCTCTAGTCAGAGCTCTGGTTACACTGAAACCAAACTCTGTGGTGTGCATGCAAAATGTGGATGGAAAGCTAACGATGCACATCACCCTAAACACACCAATCCATAATAAAACATGGTAGTGACAGCGAGATGCTGTGAGGAGACCTTTTTTCAGTAGGGAAAGGAAAACTGGTGACAGTTGAAGGGAATATGGATGAAGCTAAATACTAAGAAATACTGAAAGAAAACATGTTTCTTTTTTTTGTTTGTTTTTTCAGCACTAGTGGCCTTTATTTATTTATTTTTTGACAGTAGGCAGACAGGAAAGAGGGGTAGAGAGGGGGAGACATTCGGCAAATGTCGCCGGGTCCGGGACTCGAACCCGGGACAGCCGCTTCTAGGACTGTAGCCTCTGCACGTGGTCGTGCACCTAACCCCTACACCATCAGCGACGCGCCCTGAAAGAAAACATGTTTGAGGCTATAAAAGATTGGGGCAGCGGGGCACTTTCTAGGAGGACAATGACCCGAAACATACAGTCAGAGCTACGATTGAATGGTTTAAATCAAAAACAAACTTATATAAATATATTTACACCATGGGCGCCGACCCCAAAGCACCCATGGAGATTCCTGAGCACCCATGTGTACCAGGCAGCCTACACTTGTCATTGATTTACTAATTACCACTTCCCCGCCATCTATCAACACATTGTGTTGTGATGTCTAAACAGCCAAAAAGGTTGGATGGCAACTTGCTGATAAACTTGTATAGTGGTTGATTAAGTAAACAAAATAGACAAATTTGTGACAAAAATACCAAAAATATCCACCGACCCACACAGTCTTCCAGTAAGAACTCTACCGTGTTAACGACTGAGGACAGTAGCAGTGCAGATGTCAGGCAGAAAAAAGGTCGACCTTTTCAATCTAGCTGGAAAGGCTTAGGTGTTGGATTATGAATTTTGTTTTTCCTTTATCTTTATCTGAGTCTTATGCATTAGCTTACATTGACATTACCTCCTAGAATCCACCACCAGTGTGTAGACTGTGTGTGTTTGTGAAAGAGAGCAAGTGCGTGTGTGTGTGGGCGCGTGCATGTAGGAAAGAGCATACGTGTGTGTTCATTGCGGTTGCTGCTGGTAATTGATCTAATGGGTGTTTTGCTGTGAGACGAACGTGCGCATGTGTCAAAATAGCAACGAGTCATGGAAGCAAGGTGAGCACCCACCAGCAGAAACATAAATCTGGGCCCCTGATTTACACTCGTTTTTTTCCAATTCCTGATTATATGTAAGTTTGTATCCTAGTAAATTAATTTAACGTTTGTGGTTATAACGTTACATAATTAAAGGAGCTCACGGTTTCTGACAGTTACTTTGTCAGTCGTGTATTTAGATCAAGTTGATGGATAGGGCTGCACAATATATCGTCATCGCGATATCATTGTGTGCAATATTCATATCGCTAAGCACTGCTTGGAGTGCAATAGTTAATGGCTGATATATTCCAAGTGTTATTAACTAGACGCTCACAGCGGATACAAATGACCTCGCCCAAAATGCTAGAAGTCAGAGTCATGAAATCCCAGATGGGAAAGACAGGAAGGAAGAAAATGTACATATATCGTACCTGATATTGCCACCGCTATTATTACCAACATTATCGTCATCACAAGATTTTCGAATATCATTGAGCCCTATTATTACATAGATGTGGCCTTCAAATATAGTCCAGTTTAAGAGTGTTTGTGACACATTTTAGTTACTGATGATGGTAAACATACAGAAAGTATCACCCTGACAGTTTTAAATGGGTCCTGAGTTCATGCTGTGTATACAAGTTAACATGCTTGGTATAGTCCAACAAATGTGAAGAAACTAGTTGCACATCAGCAACACATCTGATTGGATCCTGCTTCGTGTCTTATTTGCACTGTGGCACCTTTGAGTGTGACTGCAGTTGTTGAGGTTGTCATGGGTGAGATCCTTTGGGATTTGCAAGACTCCGCTAAATGACTCTCCTTTGTTTAATGCATTTTTGCCAGATCCTTTGTGAGTTTATTTTTCCTCCCCGCTGCACCGCTTAAAGATGACGAGCCTTGTTGGTCAGCGTGCCCGCAAGTCCGTGACAGCTTCAGGCAATTTCCATTGAGTCTGAAACTCACTTTTATGCTGTTAAAAAGAATGATTTATGAAATATCAGTCTTGTGGTCCTGCTTACTGGTAAATGCTGTTTTTTGTTTTTAAACCATGTAGGAGAAAATGTTTATTGTATTGAATTTCTTTTTTTGTTTTTGTTGTTTTTGAGTGTTCATTCAGGTTGCTGATGATGTTCTGAGTGCTGAAGAATTCATTTTTCTTGACAACAGATGTTTTGTCCCAGGAACACTTTCTATAGGACAGCCTTATTTTTATATGGTTCCACACTTACAGCTACAGTACATAAAAAGCTCACATATTGCTCCTACCTGATGATATTTTTATTTGGAACATGTTTTCTCTCAGTTCTGATACAGGTTGTTGGTAGTTCAGCTGGCAAAATGTTTCGGCGCATTTCCTGTTTATCGCTTGCAGGCATTATTTTTTGAGTATTTTTAAAATTTAGGTTTGTTTTTGAAATGCAATGCAAATTGTGCCCAAACTGGAGTGTATTAGATAAAACGAACTCAGACAGCAGACCTACTATAGGATTTGGGAGTTGAGTTTAGTTGGGCTCTCCTATATGGATCATTGTAAATGTGATCACGATTATTGAATCTCATCCGGACATCCTTAGTAACATTGCTTTGTTATAAAAAAATGTTGATCTTTAATAATGGCCATTATTTGCCATGGTATTATAAGGGTTAGTTGTAAAATCAATTGAAGTCTGGAAATGTGGTTCGGATTAAAGATGCTCCAGTTAAATCAGCGGTTTTTCACTTTATTGGCTCCGATCGGTGATCAGTAATTTCAAAAATTTGAATTCCCCCCCTTGACTGAATACTACTTCCTCTATCAAGAGACCTGCAACACCTTTCCTATTTTATGTGTTGTCAACCTTACAAATATAATCAGAATCTGCAGGTCAGAGCTCACCTGGCTTCTAATTGGCCATTTAAGGCCAGAGTTTTGCATATGAAGATCTTTCTATAAGCAGCTGAGCTTTAGATCCTCTAAGTTCATAATAAACTCCTTTTTATTTATAATAATGAAAAACTGTTGCTCAAACCATTACCACTTACAAGAGAATATCACACCTATGCATCAGGCTTGCTTGGTTAGTTTACTGAGATAAAAAGTTAAAGTAATTCACTTTTCAGGTGTGAACGACACAGTAGGCTACTATCCTCCAGTTAGGAACTGCGACACATAAAATCACCACAAATGTTACATGCAACTCTTGCAACAGATGCACATACATGACACACCAACAGCAAGTCAGTCACGCTGATTGCAAGTCATGAGCGGTGGCACAAGCGGGCACACAGATTCCGTGATGCGATTGTGAATGGTGACCCACTGTATGTGACATTATGAAATTAATGTGGCTGCGATCGATATCGGATGACTTTCAAGCAGCTCAATTTTACACTTGCGGCAGGGAACAGATGGTACTCGCTGATAGTGTTTGCTGGAGGTGGATCTGTGGCGGAGGAGCTGCAGAGAGAGAGATGGGAGGGAATAGATCCTCCGGAGCACAGGGGAAAGAGGGGAAAAGAGGTTATGGTGCTATGTTTAAACGTATCCTTGTAACCTGTGTGGAAGAATGATTCCCTAATCAGTTTTGTGTAATGAATAGTTAATTTCACATCATCACCTACTGGTTATGTACCCAACACATGACCCCCTTGTAGATTCATTTACACTCAAACAGCAGCAACACAGCTGAACTGATGTCTGCACTCCTCGGATGTAATCATTAACATCATCGCTTCATATAGCCAGCGGGTACAAATTTTCGTTCTTACTGTTTTTGCAGGCAACAGCGTTCCAGAGAAACTTAAATATTTATGTGCACCCCCATGGCACACTTCTGAACTGTACTTTTGCTTTTTAGGGCTGCAGAGATACCTGCTGAAGAATTTCTGGGTCTAGAGGACCTGTCTCTGTATAATTGATAAGGTATTGGCAATCCCATTGATAGGACTAGGCATCTATGGAAAAGAAAACCTCTGCCTCCTCCTTGTAAATCTGCCCTGTCATGCTGAATCTCTTCAAACTACAGAGACGTCCTGTGGGAAAGGGCGAATGAAACAAGCGTCCACTGCTGAAAAGCATGTTATTGAAATCCAGTCCAGGTCCTGCATTCCTTTTAGACCCTTGTGATTACAGGGCTTCAGTGAAACTATGTTTTTGTGCATTGTGTGTGTGTGTGTGTCCTCGGCCTACCAAATTTGTTGTGCATCTGCTGTAACTTGTGTGGCTCACTCGCAGCTGAAAGCAGGACGGAGCACGGAGTCAGACTTCTTAAAACAAGTCTGGGCACATCTGGTTCTGATTGGCAGGGGAAAAAAGGGCTCTTGTGTTCTGGGAAACGGCAGCAGAAAAAATCCTGACCCAACCCAGCATAACCCAGCTCAGGACAGTATAGAACCAGCCAACATGGGGGAAAAAATGGCATGACTGATCCCCTTCACCCCTCCCTTTTTAGCCTGACTCTGGGCCAATTCTCATAATCCCACAGTAAAGCCCCTGGCAGCATTTTTTTTATAAACAGTGTTCAGGGCTAGAACATTCCTTCCATTTCAATTTAAGAAAGTAAAAGCTGCCATGAGCCAGGTGGACCAAGAGCTCCATTACTTTTGGCGGCAACTCTTGTGTCTGGGATAATGATACCCTGGGGGTGAGTGTGTGCTTGAATGTCTGTTTGCTCATCTTGCCACCTTACTCGACGAAAGAGAGAAGGAAATTACTATGAGCAAGCGGTATATTGAAAAGCTTTTCATGACGGGAGCTAAAGTGGATTTATAGTTCCATTTGCTTGATTCATCCAGTTAAAGGTAGAAAGGTCTGTATGTCGCTTTTATAAAGCAAACAGAAAAGACCCCCCCCGCCCCCCCCCCCTTAACCAAGAGAACAGAGGCAATTAGAAATTGATGCCAGAGTTTAGAACTGCTGCCTGAAGCTATTGTTTGCCCTGCCGTCTTTCATAAAGCTCATTATCTGGATCGGCATTTTACCTGTGGCACGTCACAGTGGTGCTGGTTTAAGAGATAGCCAGGCTGGCTTCTCCCAGGCGGCGAAGTCCGAAAACAAGTCCTGTCACCTCACGAATCCAGCTCTGATTCAAGTGGAGCGTTTGCATTAAGCCTTCTGAAACTGCAGCCCTCCACTTGGACACGGAGACAGTTAAACTCCCCTCTACAGGGAGAATATCATGGCTTCTGTTATTGTGCTGTTAGTGCTGGAGGGACCATTTGCAGTCCTTATTAGGCAGTCTGATTGGTGACTGGGCAGCGAGCCTGAGTGT